CATTACAGCTTTGTATTCATTTAGCCAAATGTTATATTAGGGCTTTTCGTGATCTGCTTCTGCTCTGATTAAGCCTACCAACTACTGACTTATAGTTGCTTCTTCCAGGTACCAGTTATCTTCATTTCAAGTCAGGTGTGCAAAGCTGAACAGATGCTTAACATTACCTAACATTGCTTTACCTTGCAGCAGAGACATACGGTCTGCTTGGGCACCATCTAACCTGTTTCTCTGCAAATGTAGGGTTTATACACCCAACGCACTAAGCATGATGAAATCTTCATTAATGGAAATAGGCAGCACCTATATATGTATGTCCTTGTGCAAAATTGGCCTCTACCAGCCTAGAGCAGTCCAGCCTCTTTAAACAATCTTTCTGCAAATGTCCAATCCATTAACAAATTAATTTCTGAACTTCAGGCCCAATTACTGTTAGTGCACATACAGTGTTCCCAGTAGAATATAGAAATGAGCAGTTTCCTCTCCTAGATGAAACCCTGACTGATGTGAAAAATTCATGCTATGGCCTTCTGATAGCATGTCTCAAATCACATTTGTTGATGGCTAACACTGCTGTTCTCATCTTGTTGCTGTTTTAAGAATTTCACCTAAAATACTATTCACAGAGAGAAAAAGTGACCAAAAAAGAATTGCATTTAGCCTAGACAGCTCAGTCTGAAAATGTAACATGGCTGTGAAAGCATCAATTAAAAATGACCCCACCTTACTCAAGAGACCTGTACAATATGTGGATTAAGATGAGGCATGTGAGCTTCTGTGGCACTAACAAGTTCTTGCTTTCCATTGCCTCATGATAGACAGCACTGTGCCAGCACAGCAAATAAGAATAATCAGAAATAAGCTCACAAGAAACTCATCTTTTAATTTTTTCATTACTAGGGATCACACAAAAGGCAGAAGGAATCAGACTTCTGAAGATACGAGGGAAAAGAGTATTGTAGGGATAAAACAAATAGCAATTAACTAAAAAATTGAGTCCCCTTGATCAGGACTCACTAAAAGAAGGTAACAGCAGGCTGTGGTACTAGGTCTAAGGCAAAGAGAAAGAGCTATTCCTTGATTATCTCTTGTAGGTCAGATATATGAGTGCCTTTAACAAACTGGGAATACTGAAGGTGTTTGGTGTTGTCTCTGAGCAAAAAGCAGTGCAGCCAGGGCTAAAGATAGAAATGTCCTGTGGGGTACCAATGCGGAAAAAGCAAACTTCAGGACCAAGCATCAGCAGGAAATTGATGTTTATAATATTTAAGTCATCTCTAAAGGAAATATTGTGATGGTGTATTGTGTGAAGAGCAGAGTCAGGCCAATGCTTGCTTATGTGTGTTTTAAGTAATATGACATGACAGACCACATCAGATCAATGGTGCTGATTAATGAACAGCTCTAGAAAGGTAACTAACAAGAGATGAAAGGGTAAAGACACAAATATCAGGAGGGAGAAGAAGGAGGATCAGTGCCTCAAGATATGGAGTTATGGTCCAGGAGCCCATTAATCATCAGCATTATTATGTAAAGTACCACATTTTTTCCTGACTTAATGCCCACTGCAACTCCACCGATGCCAGTATAGAATTGACCTAAAGTGTACATCTTAAATCACAATCTGTAATACATCATTGCTGTCATAAAATGGACCCTCCCTAATAAAAACCAGTAATACAATTAAGGCTTCTTACACCTTCCAAATTACCAGATGAAGCTTGGGAAGAGAAAGAAGGAATAAAAGTGAGCATATCTAAAATGCCCAAGCTACTATCATTAGTGGAAATATTTAAGTAATAAGAGTCTGCATTTCTGGAATGCATTCATGCAGAAAACTTATCCTCCAAAATCTTAATTAAGCACACAGTACCTCATGGAGCAGAAATGGAATGCTTTCCTTTTCTGGATAAAGCAGCCCAGGTAGAGGGGAGAAGTTACTTAACCCAATGTCATGCATCCCATTCCCCTGTTGTCCTGCTTGTCTGTCTTTTTGCCAGTCTTCTCATGGTCAAAAATCCTTTTCCTCCATTTTTTCTCAAGATAGATTAAGATTTTTAGGAAAATTTTGGGGTGTTTCCTTCTCTGTTGCACTCCTCATGTCTTCTGAAGCACCATTAGCTTTGTTAATTTTATATACTTAAAATGTACCTATCAACTGCTGATGATCTCAGTGCTTTATGCTCGTCACACTGGAGGAAAAGAGATATATCTATCTTCTCAGGCCATAGCAAAAATGATGGAGAAAACTTAAGATATTTTAAGTGTTGCCTTTCACAGAGATTTTAGTGCCCAGATTTTGTAGAGGACTTTGAACAGCCCATCTCTAACAACTTGTCTGCCTGACCCTTGATGTGAAGGCAGATTGAGTGCTAGGCAGTGCTACAAGAGAGAGCCACTTGGATTGGGATCCTGGAGATTGGAAGAGCAATAATGACATAAAAAGAGAGGTGACAAAATATGCAGGATTAGTACATGCAGTTCTTAGGCATCTCTTGTGTGAAATTAGGAGTGAAGTGAGGAGAAATAAAGACTAAAGACCTGATCTTGTGATTTTTCTGCTTCTAGTACAAGTTAAAAATTCATGTTAACTGGAGTACTGGGCAGTCTTTAAGGCACATGGGATTTATGCCTTCAAAAGATGAGCAACAGACAGATAAAAGACAGACTGATATGTGCAAAGTGGATATAAGAAGCAAGGTCAGCATTAACAGACTAGGTGGGTGTATATAGGGAAGTGGGAAGGAGGGCTTGAAAGTAAGCCATGCTGAGTGTTAGAGAGGACTTAAATCCACAGAATCTTCAGGCATTGTTGAACCTTTGAAATTCAACCCTTGGCAATGGTCAAAGGTGTCGCTCTTTTATGTGATTTTTTTGAGCTAACCTGGTGCTGGCATATAGTATCTCTCCCAAGCCCTGGTGAAACTCAGAGGTTCAGGCTAAGTTGAAGATTTTGTGTGTGTGCTTGAATTCGCTCAATTTGCAATTCAAAGCAGACTCCAAGAGGAGAGAACCTACAGAAACTGGAATGAAATAAAATGTTTGCTTGAGCCCCTGTGAAGTACAGCTGCCGGATTTCAGGTAGCCTTTTGAAATCAGTATGTAGCATATATCCCAGTCTCCGATAAACGTCATCATTACAAAATGTATAAATTGAACATAAAACTGAATGTATATTTTGTCAAGTACTTTATTACAGTATCATCTAAAATCCTTCATTGTGTCTGCTGGCACTCATTCCAGTGTTCCCGCTGCACAAACAGTGGGGTTTTTTTACTGTGTTGCATTTACAGACATAAATTCCAACTTGCACAGTGACATTAACTACCTGTGAAATAACAATTACATCTCTTATCATTTTTCGTTCACCTTCTTGATTTCTTTGATAAAGCAAATATTTGCTTTTCTTGTCTGATCAGACAAGGCAGAATCATTTATTCATGGAAATAGCACCATTGGCTTCACTGTGGGTAAGACTGAATATGCTGATGTCCCAGGAGTTCTTTGCATAGGTGAAGTGAGCAGGATTTGATTCTATCCCTGGATGTTAACTTCAGACATACTTCCAACATCCACAGTGAGCCACCCAAAGATCATAAGAAGCTAGCAGAGGAGGAGTTATGTTAGTCTAGAAAGGGATTCAAGTCCCCCAAAAATGTAAATACTTCCAAAAGCTTAGGTCTGGGTGGTGAAATCACCCTCTAATAAATATTGCAGCTGAGGTTTTTCTTTGGATCCCTTTCTGTATTAGCCTACTGAATCCAACTCCCTCTTTAGCTCAGGAGATTTCAGGCATAAAACTGCTGCTGGGCTGAATCTTTCCTGAAAGGAGGCTCATGGGAGTAAGTGGGGCTCCTGCTTTGGTATGGGAAATTGTTTTTGTGATGTAGAGAAAGCAAAAGAAGAGAAGGAGGATTTTTCTTTCCTTTTCCTGCCTTTCAGTCCCGAAGAAGTGTTTGTTGCTGCTCTGAACAGGACTAGCCTTGTTCTGACAAGATGCACTTTAATGCCAAGTTTGTGCAAGCTCACCGTCACTGCTACATGCTCATGCCATTAGAGTGAGCAACTTCCCAGAATGAATTCTACTGATAGCACTTTGCTGGCTAATCTTCCATCTCTCCTCACTTCACCATAATATGTTGGATGGGCAGAGTGGGGTAACTGTGAGCTGACTCTGTTGTGGTTTGCAGCCAGGGCTGGAGGGATTGAAGCAGGAAGAATTTGGCGCTACCGGGCTGCTGCCAGCTGTACTGACAGCAGAGAATGCCAGTTAGCATTGCAGCAAGTTTTCATGCTCTTCGTAAATAATTATTATTTCCCCCTTGTTGCCCAAAACAGCAATAAAGAAACCTCTCAACACATAATTTTAAGTGTTAAGAAGCAGACAGTTCCTTTATTTCAGTGCTGGGGACACGGGGGATCGCTCCTCCGATCGTGTCCTGTGAGCTCAGCATGAGGCATATATTTATGTACAGCTTAAACATACATATTTATTCTTTTTTCCTGGAAAACTTAGATGTAGTAAAAGATTTCCCCAACCTCATTACCATAGAGTCCTTCCCCTTGTGACAAGTGTCTTCTGGTGGTCTCCAAGGGTCTCCAGGACCCTTGGTGGTCATTCGCCTGCTGTCCACTGGTTCTGTTCACCTTGCCAGAAGTCACAAGTTGCTCATTCCTCAAGAATAACCTGGTTTGAACTGTTTTTTCTATATGTTTGGTTCCCCTTGCTTGTAGTTTTCATAACTCTCAGGATTTTCAGTTCCTGTTATCTTGACTTGCTATTGTTTGTCTGCAGCTGCAGTTAGTTACGTATAAGCTAAAACTAAGCATATAGCTAATGGTTCATAACACCCTGACCTTTCCTTTTGGTTCTTTCTGGTACAGACACAGCCTCTCTCTGTTCCCTGCCCCAATGAACGTCTGCACTAGGTCCAAGGCTTGGAGTAATTTACCTGAAGAGTGATACCATTTGGAAACCACTGTAAGTATATTTTATCTCTTATAAAAGACTTCTTGTTTCAAGCAAAAAAAGACAAATTTAAAAAACAAAAACGAACTGCAGCACCTGTGAGCATTACTCATGAGGGTAAGCTAAGTTTTGCTTTTGAAATTTACAAGGAAATATGTGGGCAAAAAAAAAAGTCAATAAAAAACTGTTAAATATTTAAGTCAGCCTCACAGCATAGTTCAGCAATGGCTGATCTGATCTGCTTGTATCTTTTAGGTTGGCAGGTTCTCCCTGCTTACTGCTCTAGTTTGTGCTTTTCTAGTTGGTTCATCCATGTTTGTCTTCAGAATGTTTATCTTCTTTTTTATTCTTATTCCTTTTTAATGAGACACTTTTCCTCTCATTGGTGTTTCATATAATACAGATTGGCTTTATTGCAGCTTCTTGAAGGAACTGTTTCTTTCCAGGCCTTCAGTCATTTATGATTTAAGGCCATTACAATTTGGTAGATTTGGCTGGATTGCATAGGTAAAGTTGCCTGAGAGAATTTTGACTTTGTATTGTGCTTTATTATTCTCTGAAATGATCAGTTGTGTGCTATTTTCACTTTTCCCCTGTAGATCTCATAGTTTTGATTTCTTATGATCAGTTCTCAGTGCTTGCCAATACTGTCACAGTGTTGGTGTAGTCAAGATGCTCTGAGGTTGTAAGTCAGGCAAGTTTTGTAGTGGGGCTTAACTTCCATGGACTTGTGGTTTAGAAGGAAAAAATGGACAAATCTGGGGGCATGTAAACCCCACTTCAGGCTTGAAACAGACACAGCAAATTTAAATCTTATTTTAACTTAATCTCTGAGTTTAATTTAGTTGTGTTAATCAGTCTCCTGTAAGAGATTTTTGAGTTTATTTTACTTTTCTGTGTTGATTAAATTTCCCAGGCTTTTATTGCACTAGAATATCGGGCCTCTCTTGTCAGTTCTCTGTGCCTCCCATTCTTGCTGTGCAGCATTCTGCTGGGATTTCTCTTTCATATTACATTTTATGGTGATGTTTTCAGGAGTTTGTGTTTTCCATTGTATGACACAAACTTGCAATCAGAGATTTTAAACAAACTGCCAGTCATGCGGCTGTAACAGCATGAAGATCAATGTGGCTGCAAAATCATCAGAGAAGCTGTGTGAATATTCAGGAAGTCAGCCTGTGGAGGACTTTTAACTACTGAAGCAACACTTCTGACAGGAAAACTGGGATGGCTCAGGTGGTTTAAAGCAAGCTTGTCTTGGAAAGCTTCACCCTCAGCTCCGGTGTTCAGGGTACCCTGAATTTTGAGGTGAGGTCTCTGGGCAGATTTCACTGCTTTTTGCTGTTCTTTGGGGCTTTTTCCTTTATATATATAAATATTCAGTGCTTATACTATCTCTCTCTTTCACTTTATCAGTTTTTAAATATGTATTGTCAATGTCATGTCTGGAAGAGACACAACACTGGCAGTGATAAGCACTGATATCGGGAGCTGTGTTAGTCGCACATGGGCAGAGGAAGAATGTGCAGCAGAATACTCGGGAAAAGTACCACTTACAATTGAACGAGAACTATTTCTACACTCTTATGTTTTTAGGATCTGAAAAAAAAAAAAAAGGAGGTTTGTTTTGTTCTTAATTATGTACAGTCTCTGTGAATTACTAGGGTTACAGATGATCTGTACACCAGTGAGCTAAGTGCAGTGCTTGGGCACTACAGGCATCTCTGACCTGAGGGCATTTAGTAGAAGGTGATGCCATATCTGTGAAGAGGGGAAACAATGCCTGGAACATGGGTGGGCAGAATCAGCCAGCAGCAGCACTTGCAACAACATCAGCAGCCCTGTGGCATGTTCCCTCCATGCTGTTTAATATGCAGTGAACAAAGGTCTGGTTGGTGACCCAGCCCTCCCTGTATTCAGAGGCTGAAAACTGCCTCATTATTGTTCATTATGTACTATTATTCTCATACAGTCACATTATCATAGCTTCCCCTGAGAGCCAGGATGCTACTGTGGGTTCTGCGCAGCTATGCTGGTTCCTATACCTGAGCTAATTTGTTCATTGCTAACCTGGTGTCTCTGCAGGATGGAGAGCTGTTCCCTGTGTAAGGGAAGGTTCAAGCATCAGTTATAGCTGCTGTGTGAGAAATACAACATATGCTGCCTATTTTTGACAGAGACCTGGTTTGGCAGCCCCACTGTAAGAACATCAAGGGTAAATGCATTCCAAACCCAGGTAATGATTGCAAGAGAGATACACGCAAAAAAAAATCATGCGTGGAGATCAAGTGGAGATAAGGATGTATGCAAGAGTGGCAGCAGGAAGGGTGAAATGTAGCAGGGCATTCCAAAGTGCAGAGGTAGTAATTAGTTTAGTTAGTTTTGAGGTTAGGACATCCACCATTTTATCTGTTCTGCCTTCAAAGTAAATAGGAAGGAGCCAGTTCTGTTTTGCAGCCAGTGCCCAGATCATGGCAGTCGCTGCAGCATTTCAGGTTGTCTACCATTTAAGACCTTGTTGTATGATAATGAAGTGTTAAGGAACATGGAAATGAAGGAATGCCGCAATGCAATAAAATGTTGACAGAAAACAGGAATAAAAAGATGCCAGTGGTGGTACATCTTTCTTTACACATGAGCTGGAAAGTGCTGATAGGCACAGTTCAGTTCAGGGATGACAGTGAAGGCAGTTAGCGTGAGCATACAACTGAGAAAGAAGAGAAAATATTTTAAGTGGTGTAAATGAACATAATGGAAAATAAAACCCTGCAATAAATAGAAGGGAATCCTGGAAGTGAATACCAACAAAAGAGAAGTACCTGCACGTAGGACTGAAAATGTAAAGAGACAAGATAGACTGTTTAGAAATGAACTGGATAAATCAGTAACAAACATGAATTCTGCAGGTGTTCTGCAAGACTCAAATTAGCTTAGGAAAGTCAGCATTTTTTCTGTCCCCAACTTCTGGGAGTCTGTGCCTCACGTCTATATACAGAAATGCCATCTCTTTGCTGTATTGGCCTTCTGCCATCCTTCTTGAGAAGCAAAGATGATGATGGCCCTCTGATAATTTTAAGAATGCAGTTTTTGAAAGGACCTGTAATGCACAAGAGATGTGTGTGGGGAAGGAGCTTAGAGGTAACTGGAGATCAGAATGGAGCCTCTTGCTCCGAGAGCACATGCCCAAGTCTTTTGCAAGTAAGTTGCAACTTCTGTTGCTCTTACTAACAAGTAAATAGCAAACTACTTATTGCCAGGATTAGTCCATGGAGAACATAATGACATGAACTAAACTAGCAAGGTAGACAGACCCTTACTACTGAAATAATCACACAGGGCTGCCAGTCGCTGAAGTCCAGGGATGGTACATAAACAGGTATAATTTGGGAAGGTTCCACAAAAAAAATGTTGTTTCATTCTCACTCCTACCCCTGTGCTTTACCCTAAAGGCTCTTTGATACAGCTATGACAGGTCATACTTTTCCACAGTTAGCGTGCCATTTTACCTCCTGTAACATGGAGATATACTAGAGAGCTTGCTGATGGAAGTGTTCATAGAAGTGTGCAATCAGAAAAAAATTAGGTTGGAAGGGTCCTCTGGAGATCTCTAGTCCAATTCCCTACTCAGAGCAGGGCTGACTTCCAAGTTGGATTAGGTTACTTAGGGCCTTGTTCAATTAAGTTTTGAAAATCTCCAAGGATGGAGATGCCACAACCTGATCAGCATTTAACAGCTCTGCCTGTGAAGACTTTAGCAATAAGATAGCAATAGAAATGGACTATATAGGTGAATGTAGAATATTTAATTAGAATATATAGGTGAAGATCATAGCAATAGGAGCTTTCTATTTGGGCCATAAGTTAGAATGAAAGGATAGCAATATAGTTAACAGCAGCAGCAGGATTTTTCAAGCTTTGCCCGTTGTCCTCTGCTGACAGCAGCAGTTGGATATTGCAGACTGGAGAAGAACCTTGTTTGTGTTTCTTTGTAGATAGTTTTTATCACAGTGTCCCCAGGATTTTTCTTTTCTGAAAAGCTTTCTTCAGATCCTTAGCTGACTTGGCTGTTTCCCTTACTCAGCCTTCCTCAAGTGGAAGCCTGCATTCTTCTAAGGTGGTACCAAGATGCAGGCCATGTGTGAACAGTGTAAGAGAAATGAACTGCTATGGAGAAGTATCGCCTCTAGTGCCAGTCAACACCATTGCTTCTCTCCCCATGCTGTTGAGCACAAGTCACCAAACTGCAGGGCTCTGATGAAGAAAAGTGATGACATGGGAGCATCTTGATAACATAGTGTCAGCCTTAAAAGCAAAGTATAAAACAAACAGGTTTGGAAAGGAAGAAGCAGGGAGTGCAGTGCAGCGCTTCATTGGTGTCACTGCCTGTTTCTGAAGTACTTTTTAACCCATCCCTCTAATGAGTTTCAAAGGCCTGGAAGGCCCATGCAGATCATCCCCATGATGAAGCATCTGTCAGTGCTTGGTCTAACTTCCTCAGGCTGAGCGCCTACCCTGCAAATAGCAACAGCATCCTGCTCAGAGGAGGTGACTTTGTGTATGGATAGAGCTGGAGTCAGAAGCTGTATTCTGAGTGTGTAACTTGGGTTAACCCTGAGCTGAAAACAGACCTTCAGTACAGCAATTCAGCTTCCAGGCTTCTGTGTATCTAGAGTATAACCCTACATACATCCTTGGCTGCCTGCACAAAAAACAATGCTATCTGAAAGCTTCTTTGGCAGCAATGCCATGAAATAACAACTGTTTTATACACATATTCCCTGCAGCCCCTGGTGTGTGCTGGCTGCACATGGGACAGTCATGGGATCTGGAAACAAGGTGTGGGAAGGTGTGTCAGAGTTCATACATCAAGGATCAACGCAGACTGTTGTGAACAAAACATTCAGTCCATGCACTTTAAAGTGTATGTGTCCATGTAGGAGTTCTGCATCTCATGCATCCTTAACTGTGTAGCATGAGATGGATCCCAGTGACAGAACGGGAGACAGAAGGATGCCCAAGCTTGGAGTTTCAAGATGCGTGGTTTACTATTGAGGAAAAAAAAAATGTTTTTAAATGGTTTGATTTTCCTTACATTTAAAATGGAGCAAATCAGTTCATCCCTTTGCTCTACCTCTGCAACTTTAAGTAAGGTCTGTTTAGTCATCTGCTATTGATTCGGATCAGATTAGGCAGCCTGGTATATTTTGAGTATATTGATTATATACATGGAGGATGGAGCAGCAGTACCATCTGCCTGTCCTGTGGCATGGGGGTGTTGAGCCCATGTAATCCAAGACACGCTGATGAGTATGCAGCTGCCAGCAGCTGCAGGGTTATGAGCGTGACCCTCTGAATGGCAGTGGTTCACCTGCAGGGCTCAGCACCCTGTCAGGAGGTGGAGGAGAAGATTTGCTTTATTTATTTTTTGGCCCGTTTAACTTAATTTTGTATTATAATTACAGGTTTTCCTCCCTTCTCTCCCGGAGCTTTCAGGCTCCTGTCGAGGAGGCACCTCGCTGGGGCGCGGTATGGGGGTGCCGGGCCGGACCAGGCCAAGCCCCGGCCGGCTGCTGCCCCCCGACGGCTGCCGCCGGGAAATGGCGTCGGGTCTCGGCCCTGCCGCCCTTATGTAATGCCTTTATGTAACTGGCCGGCGCTTTGCTTCTCCCTGTCGTCGTCCCCCCGCCCCCGACACCCCGCGGGAATAGGGCTTTCCTTGCTGTAAGATCGAGTTGTTTAAAAACTCATGTTTTTAACATGTCAGCTGCATGCCGGCCTAGGTGGACGAGGGAGAGTAGGGCATCTGCGAGAAGGGGCTTCCGCCTCAGCCCCTTAGGAAAGTCTGTCCCTGTCAAGAGAGGCTTTGCCTGCAGATGGGAAGCTAGGAAGGGCTGGTTGGGCACAGAACAGGGCTGCCTCTAATCCAATGGCACCTCCATGCTCTGGGATGCTACCCCAAAACCGTGTTCCCCAGATGGTGCAAGGTGCCACCCTGTGTAGAGCCTGCTCCCAGGGTGACCCGCCACTGCTTGTGCCTCAGGTGCCAGCAGGAGATAATGGCGCTTAATTTCATAGAGTCATAGCACCATAGAATCAACCAGGTTGGAATAGACCTTTAACATTATGAAGTCCATTACCCCAGGGCTGCCAAGTCCACCACTAACCCATGTCTCTAAGGGCTTTTGTACACAGGTTTTAAACGCTTCCGGGGATGGTGACTCCACCACTTCCCTGGGCAGCCTGTGCCAATGCCTGACTATCCTTTTGGTGAAGAATTTTTTCCTAATATCCAGCCTAAACCTTCGCTAGCGCAGTCTGAGACTGTTTCCCCTTATCCCATTTGGATGTTTACCCAGGTGGCATGGCCTTGTGCTGGATCAGGGCAGTGGTTTTCCCAGCTGGAACATGAGGCCCGAGCTAGCTAGGAGGCTACCTGCCTTGGGGAGCAGAAGAGGAAGCACCTTCACCTGTAAAACTGAGGAGAAACAGTGAGATGTGGGTGCTTCTCTCCCCTGTAGAGTGCTCATCACTTCCCTTTCTGCCTCAGTTTCACCACTTGTGAAGCAAAGGTGGTGATGAAGTCCATGCCTGGTGTTCCTCTGATGCTTGGAGGGTGGAGTGAGGCATTGAGAGCTCGCATACACTGTGTTCATAGCATGTTGTTTCAGGCTCCAAATCTTAATGCTTTACTTTGATGACCTCTGTATCTCAGAATTGCTTCAGTGGTTTTCACTACAAAATGAGTCTCTGCACTGATTTGTTTTGAACTGGAAACTTGCATATTTGTTTGCTTTTCAGGCATTTCTGTTACATTTCTGTATAACTTTCTCTGTTCAGAATGCTGCAGCCTTAGTTAATATTTGTCAAATGGAGCTCCAACTGTCTAAACCACTGGGACGAGTTTCATTTTATATGTCATCAGTAGGGGCAGAATGAGGAGCTTCGTGCTTGGCCTATTTGCTGTAACACAGTCTCAGGGCCATTGCATCAGAGTCAAAACAAGGAGCAGCTTGTTTCCAAACAAGAAGCATGGAGGAAAGTCTTCTCTGCCTCCTTCCCTGTAAGGAAAAAGAGAGGAGAGAGGGAGGTAGTGGGGGGGAAAGAAAGTTATCTTTAACAGATTCTAAAAATGCCTTTTCCCAAATATGCAGTCAGTGCCTTCAAAGGTCTCTTTGTTTATTTTCAGGAAGAAACCCAAGACAGCTGAAAACCAGAAGGCGTCTGAGGAGAATGAGATTACTCAGACGGGTGCATGCAGCGCCAAGCCGGGCCTTCCCTGCCTGAACCTTGAAGCTGTTCTGTCTCTGAGCCCGACCCTCATCACTCACCACATTCACCAACAAACCTGCACGCACACACAGGGTCATCTGATTGTGAGTACACCAACGTGCTGCTGGGTTGCACTGGGGTTTGTGAAAGCACACTGCTTACTGCGGAACAGGGTTTCCAGTTGGATGCTCATTCCATAATGGCATGAGCAGGACTTCCTCAGGGCTTACCTTTTCCCTTCTTTGGGAATTACCACTGAAACACAGCAGTTTGAGTTATGGTTGTGATAATGCAGTCAGCCAGAGGAAGCTGACAGCTTGTTGTTGGGTCAGGTTGCTGCTTCTTAAAAATTAGAAAGGGAAGACCCCTCAAATGTGTCTCTTTCAATCTAGAGCTATAGTTATTCCTCTCCAGGTCATGATTCTTGTTACCCAAGCATATCTGCTGACTGGGGATTTTCAGCCTGGGCTGTATTGCAATGGGAAAAAACAAGTGTCTGCCTCTAATACCCAGGATTGTAAAGGACTTCCATGAAGAAAGGGGGGAGTGTTTTGTGGAGAGGACCAGTCTGTGAGAGTCTGGAAAATCTCTGTAGACCTCTGTGGTTGTACCAGTTTAAGGCCCTTGTTTTGAGTGCGTTCACTTTCAGATTACTCAGCACGGGTTAATTGGCCTTTTAAAAATGTTCTTTTCCATTTGGCAAAATATACAAAAATAAGGGAGGGAATGATGAAAACGGGATTTTGGAAGGTCAGAACTTACACTGTCAGCTTTTCAAAACACTCATTTCACAGTGGTCCCTGCCTGGAAGTCTGTTGGGCAGGAATGTGCAGCATGATGTGAACCTCAACACTCACTAGTTTTAGAATAGATGGTTTACCTCTTCTGCAGTGGATTTAGGATGTTGTAAAATTTACGAGGGGGAAAAAAGGAGAAAGAAAGATGATGACACCAGGTTTCAAGAGCTCAGAAGCCAACGAAACTGTGCTAAGACCTATAAAAAAAAAAATCAGGGCATGACAATAAAAAATCAGATTAAAAAGGATGTATATCCTTTTCTTTTTTAATTTAAAAATTCTGCCTCAGGGCCAAGCTTGGAAGCAGCCGGGTTATAAGGATCATCACTATCAAAATCACTTTAGCTGCAATTCATTCCTGTTGGCTTCTGTCTTTATTCATTATGAGCTTCTTCTAGAGATCTTGATTTTAATAGAGCTGGTAAACATTGGGGAGACTTTCCTAAATCTCACCTGGTGATTTGGGGGAGAAGAAAGAGATGTGAAACAATTGAGCAGCAGGCAGCATGCAATTTAGTATATACAAGAATTCTCTTCAAATTGGAGATGTCAGGCTCTTTGTTAAAACCGTGGTACAGTTCTGTCTTGTAATGTTTTCTGAAAACAAAAAGCTTGTGAAAAGATGCAAAAAATGAGCAGAACAACAAGAAAAAATAATCCTTAATTTCAGACAAAGAATCTCTTTATCCCATTCACAAAGATAAAAGAGTTCATTAGTAAATGGCATTTGAAACCTCACACTGATGTTTTTTGACAGTACAAATGGAAACCCATGAAAGCAACCTTAGGACAGAGGCCAGCAGTGATTGTAGGGAACTTGGAGAATGAACTCCTGCTTTTGCTTTTTGAGGTGGCCAAGTTCAAGGGTGAGGAATATTGGCAGAGGGCGGTAGGGGGGAAGTGGAGCCTCCAGCTCTTTATGCTCTACCTGTTCTGTGGAACAACAGTCTTTTAGATCCCAAAGTTTTTGATATTACCAAATCACCTTTCGTTCCTACTAAATTCACAGTACCAATATGAATAAACTTCAAACCCAGGTTAGATACTCCTTTCACAGTGAAATTGATGGGTTTTTTTTTTCAGAAAAGAAAGTTTAATAATAATTTCATCATTAATATTGTGCTATCCCAGGAATTGTTGAAATTTAGCTCCCAAAATACAGCTAGAGTCCTGCAAGTGTTTAAGAAATGGTAAGACCTTTTCTCAAGATCGACTCTTGTGGTGTTGATCTCTGTTAGTTGACTCCATGTGCTTTGAAACTGATGAAAAAACTCCCTTTATTTATGATGGGTCATAAGCTTTATCAGGCTGTATTAGTTTGGGGCAGTATGTATATCATTAGTGTTTGGAATGCCCTTGCGAAATAGCAATGCCAGTTTCTTACATGAACTAAAAATTGTTTCATGATGAATATTTACTGCATATTTACCGTAGCTATCTCCTGTGTTATATGGGGTTTATTTAATATTACCTCAATCATTAGTGCAGGGATACCTTCACTGACCCAAAAGATTAGTATTTGTGGCTCCCAACATTTGAAAATGGGCTTCCCCATCATTACAAACTCCTTACCTCTTGCCTTCCCTGCCTTCTAGACTCGCTTTTCCCCCTCACCTTAGAATTCCTCTGTTTGACTTTCTCCTCCCCTCCTGCCAGAGCTACATTGCCACATTATCTTTCTTATCAACTTTTGGACCTGTGATGATTCTTTGCCTTTTTAGGTCCTTCCCTTTACCTTCTAGACACTACAAAATTGCTTCTTCTCCTTTGCCCAGACCACCATACTGCCTCTACCCCCACAACTGGGCAGGTTATATTTCATTTAGAAGAGAACATTCTTCATTCTGGTGGGAAGTTTTCTAGTGGATAGTGAATAATTTAAAAATACTTAAAAACTAGGATTAGATGGGAAGTTTCAGGAGAAGAGTTTTCATGGAAAATATTGGGAACACCCGAAAGAGTCAGCATGGTAGGTTGAATCAATTCTTGGAAAAATGCACTGGTGTACAGATGGTTCCATAAGCCCTCATTCATGTATCTGGAAAAATGACTTAGGATTTACGGCCCACCTATTCAAATCAGCTTGAAATCTTTACTGACCATTTTGCATGCACAGTCACTAGTGCCTGGCAGAAAACAGTACCACGTATTTATTATGAGAAATATTCAGAAGCCAGTCTACTTTAAAAAGTCAGGGTGCTTTTGGAATGATTCAGATCAAAATTCTTTTTCCAAGCATAGGAAATAAAAACTCTCTGATAGCCATCTGCTCCTCAGCTGTAAAAGGCAGAGGTGAAGAAAGCTGCAGCAATAGTCTGAATGCCAGTCTTACTGAAACAAGTACTTAGCAAAAAAATCTGGGTAAAGTCATATGTGACACACAAATTAGAGCTTAATTCTATAATTCTTAATTCTGTAATTCTGTGATTCTTAATTATATAATTCTTAATTCTACATACTGGCTTTGGTGCCACTTTTTCCCAATGAAATGACATTACTTCTGACCTTTGTAGGACTGGTCCCTAGATTTCTGGATTTGAACATTATGATGTAGTTCCTTGGGTGACGTGGTCTAGTGTGAGGTGTCCCTGCCCATGACAAGGAGAGTTGGAACTAGGTGATCTTAAGGTCCTTTGCAACCCTAACCATTCTGTGATTCTATGAGCTTATGATTTCCAATGCAGATGAATCCTTGAAGCAAAATCCAAAACCTAGGGTGCACTGTGTCCAGTTCCCATCTCTTTCAGTGTTGGGAAATGCTAGCTCATGCAATGCAATTGGAGAAGCAAGTTAAGGAAGAAGTCTTCTTGAGGTATCTGTTTTCATGTAGGGCTTGGCAGACAAAAAGCACCACTTTGAATTAATTTGGAATTAAGTCATAGAGTGTGCTGATAGAGCTCCAAACGAGTTATACCTCTAGCTACTCAGCTGTCGTAAACAGATGTAGCTGCTTACCCAGAAAAAGGGTGTTTGTAGAAAAAGCTACAAGGACAAGCTTGGAGGCACAAGTTCTGGAAAGGCTACAGGGAAGCAAAGGAAAGCATATGAGATTGGTGCTGTTTGCAGTTTTCCACATACTTTCTTGCTTATGGATAGAGAATGTATATAGTTGGTGGGGTCCTACTTTGAGGGCTGAACTGCCTTAGGTAAAGCTTCTAAAGATTTTGCTGAGAGGAAAGGGAAGGAAGTCATTGGGACTTGGCTTTGTTTAAATTGATTTGGTCTGTATAGGTCACTCACTTCAGGAGCCCTTCATAAAGCATCTGTAACTATATACATTTTGCAAGTGCCAAGAGATAAGATCATTTTGGCAGAAACTTTCACCAGTTCTCAGAGATACAGTCAGACAAAAACTTAATTCAGGCTCTGATGTATGCATCTTAACAGATGTGTCCAAACTCAAAGGAATCCCTTGGGAACAGTACAACTGAATTTCTTTGTCTCTATTGATAGTTGAAAGAGTTATTCTTAGACATTGGATGGTCCATCTGTGAAGGAATTTGTTCCAGACAAGGGAAAAGCAACATCTTTGTGAAGAGTTTCCATGGGACTGAGAGGCAGGTTGGACTATCATTGTGAAAACTGCTGAAGCGATTTCGACGATTTTAGAGAACACGATTCTGGCAAAGACCTGAGATTCTGGTAGGGAATAAAAGCTGAGAAGGAAAGTGGGGCATGGATAATTTCTGAAAAATCCATGAAATAATCATTGGCAAGATGTTGAGATGGGGGAGGACTTTCTAAAGTTAAGTTTTAGCAAGAAACCAGGGAGTTTTTATGTATTAAATAGAATGCACTTTGTAAACACTGTTGGTGATGGGCCACATGTGAAGCCTTTGTCCATACATGCTCAAGTGACATGGCTGACGTGGGCCAACTCCAGCATTTTTTAGCTTTAACAGGATGGGAACTTTGAGGCAGTATGCTTTCTCTTTCTCCTCTTGCATTCTGATTTCTGTAGCTCGCTAGGCTTCCAGCATAATGGGGAAAGGCAGAGAGGGAACCTCACAAGATTCCTGAACCCCACAGAGCATTGAAAGTGGATGTGGAAACTCCAGGTTTTCATTTTCTTAAGCAGATAGAGGAAATTACCATTCACTTCCCATGAATCAACAAGTTTGATCTATCTGGGGGTGCAAATAGAGACTAGATGGGTCTGAAGGTGGTTTGGTCTCATCTTTGCACTGTAGGTTTCATGTGTGTCTCTTAGAGGTTCTGTGTAAGGAAGAGAACATGTGCTTATCATTTTCCCTCTGCCTCTGGACATTTGTGGCTGTGACTCCCTAGGAAGTGCTCTGGCGCTTTCA